GATATCCCAAATGCGCATTCCGATTTGGGATATCCGAAATGATCATTTCGGACATTAACGCATTTCGGGTACAACAGAAATACCACTGAAATTGTTAAAATTTCAAAAAAATCCCTTAAATCCGGTAAAGTAGTTATATAAGGAATCACATGTCTGACCAATAGCAGAAAATTTTAAAACGGCATTTTTCAACACATTATTTTTTGTTGTAAATCGTATAACAACTAAAACTGATAAGCCAACACTTTTAATTATACGTCGTCTTAAAATAATAGAATTAATCAACCAATGAGCTATTGTAAATAAACTCTGTTAATTAAAATCGGGTAGGCATAAAGCGGCCCAAAATTACAAAAATTACGTAAATTGGACTAAATTTCTTAAATACAGTATAAATTTTACTACTGCAAAATTCATATAAGTCACATGATTCTTAATAAATTGACCAATAACACATATTGTCCTGAAAAATTTGGCCCACAAAATAAAAAAATAGACCATTCACACCATAATCAAATTTCTCTCGAATTAGTTTAATTATATAAACCTAATAATTCATCGAAATCCACAAGCTTTCCAGTATAAATGTAGTGTAATAATCTAGAAAAATTATTATAAGTAACTCCAACTTTCATAATAATGCACATAATGCGAGATGTTCGAATAATTTATCTTCCAATCTATCTTAAGAATTAGAAAAAAAAATTTGATGGTCATTTGAATTTTTTACCTACACGCAAGTTTTCGTAATACAGCTGCTAACGTAAAACAATAAGCGATAATTAAGCATTAAACGGTCATGCCCTGCCGGCACATGAACTAATTGTTGGTCAAGTATTATGACCGCTCTTATATTTTTGATATTCCATAATTTTATTACATGAAAAACTATATTTGTGAAGGTAAATCAACGCGAAACCTGCATGATATAATAATTAATAATAAACAAATAAAATTAGAGGAATAAAATTATCTATCGTGCGCTTTGGGAATTTTTTTGTTTGCTAAAAAGAGAAAGTAATGTTATCAGTAACAAAAGGATAAAACAACAATTGTGTTTATAATCATAATTACAATGGCATTACGTAAAATTTGTAATCACGAGAGGCGCAGTTTCAATTCATTGGACTAAATCGTCCAACATCAATTATTGAATCCACTTGTGACAACCGTATTGGATTATTTCTAATCGTATAAATGATTGATAATGAATTGATTGATTGTCTATATCACCTTTCACTGTATATAATCACACCATGTTCGACGTTCTGATGATCGAGCTCATTTGAATATTTGTTCTTCTTTATACTCCTATTTATTAAAAAATAAATTAATAGAATATTAAAACATACTAAGGTAGATTAACTAATAAACGTTTACGAAGCCTGGCACTTTATTTGTTCCAGATATCCACAGCTCAAGCTATTTTTTATAATTGTGCGTCCATACACGAATTGGTAATTCGGCTATTCAGATAAATGCATCGTTATATTGGTGGATCTTGGCATTGATCTTATATCTGACATTGCTTCAATTTAACCTTGTTAAGCGAAAAATATTATGAATTGTTAACGATGATATCGCGAGGTTTGTAATTTGGAATAACTTAATAATTATAAGATAAATTTTAAATATGTTATGCGATATATGAAAAACTATAAAATTCAGTTTTCTTTTAATTAATTCATACCTTCAGATCCATTAACAAGGATCAAATACTATTCTGGTTATACCAACTAATCATCATCATAGTAATGAGTCATCATGAAGATGTAATTTATTTCGAGTCAATTCAGGAATTGCAACACTGATATAACACGAGCACTAGTTGCATCTTTTCCTCATTGAGCCCTTGTACCAAATTGACCTTCACCATAAAGGATATTGAACAAATCGTGAGCCATTGCAATGATAATAGCCCAGCTAATGAAGATACTTTAAATTCCGTTCTTGAAATTTTTCTTAAAACAAGTGTACAAAACTATTCTCTGGCCAGGTTTTAATCCGTCGATAACATTTTGAATCGAACGTTCATTGTCAGCTCGACTGAACAAGATGAACTCTTTATATAAATTCATTATCGTGATTCATGGTACCGATCTAAAAGAAGATAAATTTTTAGAATGTTAATTTCATTAAAAAGGTTTCTTCCTGAACCAATGTCCCATTGATTGATTAAATATTTCAAAATTTAATCCTACCATTCATGATAAATGATCAGAATGACCATATTCAAATCAAAATCCATAAATGATATTAGCGTAATGTGGATCATCATGACAAAATTGAATTTCGTTAATTCTAAGTTAGCTAATTACAAAACTATATGATAAAGTTATAAATGATACCCGAATTATATTATATATAATATAATACCCCTGGGACATTTCATTAATTTTCAGGTTGACATAAAACGTTGACACTAAATAATAATATAAAATTAATATAGATCCATCATGATCCGTTAAACAAATGTAATGATTAGAAATTATGTATAACAAATATTCCTACTGAAATTTTATTGACTGATGATGTTTATAAAAACAGGATCAGGAACATAATACATGATCCTGATCCTCTCAAATAACATCAATATCAGTAAATATTTTGACCAACGAAGGGCTTATGATATCATGATCATCTACAAATCTTACTGATTACACGAAATTTGAAGGGTTTTTACCGCATCGATTGCTTGGTTTGTTAATTAAGATGACCATAAAATTTCCAAATAGAGTTTAATAGCTTAGCTCTCATATCATTATTTCTATAAAAATTGTAGCGAGTTCTTTTAAGATCTCAAACTGATTTTTAAATCTATCAAAATCATAATTCTTGCTTTATTATGTTTATGTTAAACAAATTTGTTGAATAAATCAATGGGTTCCATCAACAACACCAACCACAGGAAATCCCTGCATTTCTGAAAATCCACGAATAAATTCTCCGCGTGGCTAATTATATATTGATTTCGTAAAGAATGAAGGACAACAATGACGCGTTCATTATATTTAACCACTGCTCCAGTTGAGATACCAAATATTGATGCAACTTCCCAAACATTGATTTTAATTGACCTTTAATCATATTTACAATTATCCAAAAGGATTGTTTATTCATTCTTAACGTTATTCGAAATCTTTTTTTCATCATATTTAAACAAAATATTTTTATACCAATCTATTATAAAATATTATTGAAAAATAGTTTTTTTTATAAATTTCGCTAGATGATTTTATACAATTATCCGAACCATCCTCGATACTTGATTTCGCAAGAACTTTGACTTTACATAGTTAAGTTAAATGAATTTCTAACTCGCTCCAATTTGCAGCTTTATAAAAAATTAAAATCAAAATTATTAGTGATTGTTAACGTCTAAATAATAACGATTTTATTGCGTATAACTCGCTAGCTTTTTTAAAATCGTGATTTTAAATAATAATGATTTAAATTGCATATTGCAGCACCGGAAAAATTTTCAAATTTTAAAAAATTGCTTTTCACCTAATTTCCAAATTAGTCCATGCATAATATATTTCTTAATAGTACTAAAACAACGAACCTATAACGACAAAATTACTAGTATAATTATGACAAATTTTCCTTAATATATTTATTTATTTTTAGATTTATAGCTATACATACATATACATGTCTTAAATCTTATTATGCAGAAAGTAAAAAAATTTCGATGATATAAATATAAAAAAATTATTTCTTGATATATTTATATTTTATTAAATTCAGATGCTAACACGCAAATTTACAAATGTAATTTTCTAACATCAATCGAATGAATGAATATCTTTAAATTCGACGCCCACCCTTCCATCGACAACTGAGCGTCACAGACGAACAAAACTATACTTTAATAAACTTCGCTTGAACTTTTATTGTGTGTATTTTTACTCCCTTCTGAAAGTTTATTTGTAAAGTTTGACCTAAATTCGAAAACGTATTATATACTTTATTTTATAGATTATTTTTGGAAATATGATTGTTACATACTAAATATAGTTTCTAGAATAATAAAAAGTAAGCGAACAAAAAATATTTATTTTTATTATTTGTAAATCATATACATATTGCTTATATGTGCATGAATTTCAAATTCTTTTGTTTGATGTAACTGATGTAACTTTAACGAAAATACAATCTTATTTCCTATTCATAATTAAATTAATTTACATAATACGGGGGGGGGGGATTTCAGGAAAAATCTTTTTTTTTTTTAATAATATATTTTTTTTAAATATTATTTAATCTCAATAAATACCGCCATAAGGTCATATTTTTTAAAATATTGTAAAGTATAATTTTTATATTATTCATTATCATTATTTAAGCTAAAGAAAAGACAACATTCTGCTTGTATAAAAAGCTTCAGAATGGATTTCTTGTTGATCAAATTTGCTTTTCTTCAAATTTGAAAGCTCTTCAGATAATTCCGATGGATTAGGGTCATCAATCGCGCTTAACCAAGTTTCTAACTCATCATTTAATTCAGATGTAGTTGGACGACTTGAGGGGTCAGAATCCCAACATCTTGTCATTAATTGAGTATAAACGTTTGGAGTTCTTATTTCAGGACGAAGACCGGAACAAATTTGACTGGCCAAATTCGAATCATGTGGTCTATTACACCATGGAAGAACCCCTGCAGAAAGGGTCCACATGATCATTCCAAAACTATAAATGTCTACGGACTCTGTTAACGGTTTTCCTTGCAAGATTTCGGGAGCAACATAAGGAAGAACTCCATATATTTCGTTTGAATTTTCCTTATTTATAGAATAAGGCTCAATATCTGGGATATCAATGTTTCCAAACGAACCTTGTATAACTTCAACCAAGATATTGCCTCCATGAATATTTCCATGAATCAATCCTTTTTCATGATAATGCACAATTCTTCCAGATATTTGCCAAAGTATTAAAACAACGTCTTTCCAACAAATCATTTGTTGAGTTTCATCAAGAAATGAATATAAGTCTCTATTTTCATAGTATTCATGGTATTTCATAACTAACATGTAATTTGAAGTAAGATCTAAAGTTATTCCAAAAGAGTCAAGACTCTCATGTAAACTATATTGATATTCATATAGCTTCATTAAAATTTATTGAAAAAATAGTTATTTATCTGAAAACTCAAGTATAAAGCTAATATCAACTAAATATATCTTACTTGTTTCAAATATTTTTCATTTATATTTTGTGAATCATGAAGTCTCGCTAGAGCAACTTTTATAGGCCCATTTCGTGTCCATTGCTCGGCATCTTCATCCCAAATCCTTCGAGGACCTTTCATCCAAGTTGCTGAATAAATTGTACCAAAATCCCCACCTTTGTTTATTTTTTTCATAAATTCAAATTGATCGAAATCTATATATTCTAAATAATCTACATTTCCTGTCGTATTTAATTGAGTATATTTAATAAAATTATCAACAATAAGATTACCACTTGCCCAGTTTCTAAAATTTTCTTTAAAGGCATTACATTCACAATCTTTACACCATCTTGTGCTACTTCGTACGTTTCCACAATCAAAGCATTTTACAAAATCCGAATTAGAATCCATTTGTTAAGAAAGAGAATTTTAATCTGCAAAATGTATAAAAAATGTCAAAATAACGTCTTGATCACATGACAAGGCCTGTTAATGCAATTTTTACATAGCGTCGCCATGAAAAAAATGGTTGCCAGATTTATTTGCCAGTTAGATTAGGATTTGAGTTATGGAGAGGGTATTAGGATTAGATTAGTGTTGGGAATTTGGGTTAGGTATTTGTCACACGTCATCACTGTTGTTTAATTTTATTGAGAAAAAATACTAACTGTCACCATTATTTGTCATACAATAGTTTATGTGAACCGACAAAATAAATCCGGCTACCATTTACGCTAGTTGTTTGCTAGTGCAAATAATATATTATATGACGTTGGATTTATTCACCATTCTAGCTAGCTTTGGAACTTTCTTTACATTTGTTGAAGGAAGCACTATCAATAAGACCGATTAATTAATAAACTTACATTTTTTTTGATTATGATATAAAATCTAGAGCACTAATTTAATGTAGCCTTTCAATAAATCTAAAAAAATACTGGTCTCCTTATTTAATTTATGAAGTCCCTAGAATTTAATATAAAGATGAGCGATTGAATATGGGCGTGAAAATGTAATTATTCTTTTATTTGAACAAGTTGAGATCACAGCCTTTATATATAATTTTTATTTAGTTTTCTTGATCCATTTCAAAAAATATTGGATTTGGAATTTATCGCTATCTAAGACGCAAAAATTACCTTCTCGACCTGTACGACATACTTTCTTGACCAATCCTATTATAAAATAACTACAAAATATGTACAGGTGGTCAATAAGGTAATTTTTTGCATAATTGTTTACGTTAAAAAAGTATAACGGAAATGATCGACAAAAGGGATTATTAAAAATTAAAAACTCTGTTAATTTTGCATAATAATGGCGAACGGTTGGTTAAATAGAATGACTTAATTTAAATATTATATAAATACTATCTTTATATGGTCATTATGTTTACTGTATTGAAAATAATTATAAAATTCATATTAATATTATAGAAAAATTTTTTTATAATAACCTTAATCCGTTAATTGAAGTAAGTACAAGATCAAATAAAGCAGCAATTGTAGTTGCTCGATTTGTAAAAATCCGCAAATGTTAAAACTAAAAATAAATATAAATTTTAATAAAAATATTTTAACTTATTATAAATTCTCATTATAATAAAAAAGCAAAATTCTATTTCAAACCTCCTAATTCTATTTTCAACCGGTAAATTTATTACCTTTTTTATCTCAATTTAAATATCGTTTTCAATATTTACAGTTTATTTTTAGAACAAAATGCAAAATGAAGAAATGTGATACAAATTTTTAATATTAAAATATTAATATGATTATTTTGATATTAAGCATATTCAGCTTATATAAAATCATAAAAAAAAAAATTTTGATAGAGTCTAGGATATTTTGCTAGTCCATGACCCATATAATGAAAAAAAAATTTTATCTGAACGTGATATATTATTTTTTTTTTTTTTTTTTATATTATAAAAATCTAAATAATAAAGATATTAGCGTTTTGATACTTAAGTATAATAGTTGGGTATTTTTATAATATTTCACCAAAAAACCATATAGTCACTTATTATTTTTTAAATGGTCATAATAATTTATACTTGAAAATCCATTTTTCTTTAAGAATCAAGTTGCTTTGTTAAATTATTTATATTAAATTCATGAACCCTATAATATAACTATGGAACAGGAACCGTTGGATTAGTCCAGAGCGAAATTTAACCAATAAAAAGACAGATCAAATTCATTATAGTATTTAATTTAATTAAAATTTTACACTATTTAATTTATTTTTGAGTTAATTAATACTATTTTAGATGATGTAAAAAAAGCATATGTAAAATAGTATATATTTTTTTTTTAATAAATAAGTATTAAATAAATTGAACAAATCTAATCATAAAATCAAACAAATTTGATAATTTGAATCAAAATAAAAATTGCAGACGCAGTATTCATCCTAACAATGTAGACCAAGGTTAATAAAATAAATATAGAGTCACTCAGATCAATGAATTGGTCAGTAGCTAAGATTATGGCAGTATACACCAGTAAAATGAGGCTAAAAGAACAAATTTAGACGTCGTAAAAGGTCTTGAAAGCCAATTATTATTGGTAAAAGGGTCTTATGTCATGCTAATAGCAAATATATGAACCAAAGAAGGGTTAATTAATAGAGCAATGGGAATAGTATATGATGTTCTATATAAGGTTAGAATCTATTTTCACTTCCTGTAACAGTTTTCATTAAATTCGAAACATACGAAGGACTTAGCATAACAACATCAGAAGGGAACAAAGTTGTTCTGATAGTACCAATTAAATGAACCTGGAAAAGCAAATCCAGAGTGACATGCTCTAGATTTCAGATTCCTATTTGCTTAGCGTATGTTATCACAGTTCACAAAAGTCAAAAGCTCATACTGGCAAAGACAAAAATAAATATAGGAAGCAATGAATTCACAGCAGGTCTTTTGTTCGTCACAATTTCATGAGTTCGCTCATTCAGTAATATATACTTCAAGCAGTTCACTTTCGATCGTCTTCAGTGCATAAAAAATAGTAAAAGACTACATGAAAAGAATGAAGAGAAAACGCATTTACTCTCTTAGGTACCTTAATAGCAAATTTGGACTTTTATTTTTTGTACACGATCATAGAAATCGTAAAAAATAAAAAACAAAAAAAGGACAAATATATTTTAAAAAATAATCATATTTTATTCTGTTTTCACGAAAACCTTATTATTATTAATTACATATAATAAAAGTGAGAAAATAAAAAAAATTAAAAAAAAGAATTTTTTTTAGTATGAATAAGTACTTTATTTGTTAAATTTTATTATTAATATATTGCTTTTTTGGGATCAGTGATACAAAATAAACCCACCAATTTGTATCAACCCAAACTGCAAGCGGACGAATAATGAAACAATTCTGTATCACTGTGTGTAGTATTTAATAGTCCTTCGTTTCACACTAGACTAATTAAATTATTCAGTCTGATTTAACATTTTATTATATACCATCATTACTATTATTTTCTTTTATAATATTATTATGTTAAAATATAAATGAATTTTTTATTACTAATAAATTTTTTTAAGTATTTTTTATCATAAAATAAACCATATAATTTTATTTAATCAATTTTTAAATAAAATGAACCTAATAAAAAAATGACAATAAAATAAAGTTGCGTTGCTATGAAATTATTTCATTCTCATTTAAAGCAATATTTTATAAATACAATTTTTTATTGTATAGTAAAGCAATTATTTTCAAATTTGTGATCTGAAAAGTAATTTTTGATAACCTGTGAAGTAACTCTTAATTATCAAAGTTACCCAAATGTTTCTATAAGCTACATTTATTTAGGTTGATTTATTATCAAACTAATAACCTCTAAAAATCTAACCAAATAAAGTTCATTTAATATTCTATAATATGAATTAAAAATCTTAAAAGGTTTCTGTTACCTATTTTTAATAGCCCAGTTAAAGCTCTGAACTAAAAATGGTACAGCAATTGATTTTAAATTTACAAAATATTGCAATATAAGCTAAAATTAGTTGCAACATATGTTACAACATTATAAGTTACAACATATATAGGTTAAAACTAATTGCAACGTAAGTT